GTGTTTCATAAACACTTGGTTATGACAATTCTGGGACTAAATTTGGTCTTTTATTACCAATTCGTTTGGTTTGGTTTGGTTACTTTTATTTAGCGGCATATCAAACCCTATGGTTTATTTTATGCCTTAATATAAATATTTATTTATTTACAGTATTTACATCAGTTGGACTATTGTCCTCATCTTTGTCGCCATATTTGTCACAACGTTTCGGCCGTTGTACGCTCCGGCCTTCTTCAGGTGGTTGGAATTTCGAAATGAACCCTTTATTTCGATCACTGGGGTAGACTGTTCTAGTTCCACGTGCCATGTTTGATGGATGTCAGTTATCAGTTATCTCCTGCTAATTTTCCCTCTGAAAGTTCTCCACTGCCTTAAACAGGTATTGAACTCACCTTCTTTGGGTCTGTCACTGGATCTAACCAACGCCTTTATCCACTGTGCCATGTGTCCTTGAGTCTACCCCAGTGATCGAAATAAAGGGTTCAGTTCGAAATTCCAACCACCTGAAGAAGACCGGAGCGTACATCGGCCGAAACGTTGTGACAAATATGGCGACAAAGATGAGGACAATAGTCCGACTAATGTAAATACTGTACATAATACCTCATCTCAGAAATATAGACATACTCTGAAGGATTTATTTATTTGTATGGAGATAACTATGGTATTAGTGAAACTAGTCTTATTAGCTTAATTAAGCTTTAATTAATTTAATTTTCTTACTAATTATGCAATAGCTGGGGAAAGAAGAGGTTGATTCATACCTTTCCCAAGCGTATTTGCACGTAAGTGGATATAACAAAGCCAACTGAAATTGGAACTCTCAGTTTAAAAATACAGAGACATTATCTATTACACGAACTGCATATCCAATCTTACAAAACATAGTATTCAAAAGCGGTCACCCATTTTGCTAATTAACAGGCTTGCCGTTCCTAAGCTTCGTACAGGAACCGGTATTTCAACGTGATGTGACCGTAAGCCTATTGCCAATAAAAAGTGTCTAATTTTCTGATTTAAGAGAACAAAAATTAACTCGGCCAAAATTGTAACTCCGTATGCCTCCAGGAACTCAACAACTTCCTCCCTCTTGTAGGGTTTAGCAACCGTTGCCCCTTTCTAAAACCTCCTACCACGTTCCGCCATTTCATTCACACAAGCTCGTCAGGCAGGTGGCCCTGTCTATTTAATATACCCTGTGAGTGCCAAATTTTCCAAGCCCTCTTCCTCATTATGTGCACCAGAAATTTCATATGTCTCTTTCTGATTGTCAGTATAACTTTTTCATAGCTTACGCGCAACATCCCTGGTATTCTCAGTATCCTTCTGTAGAACCATGTTTCTGATGCTTCCAGTTTTTCTTCATCCGTGACAAGATTATCCATCATTCACTGCCATATAGGAAGGTTGATGTTACGTAATATTAAAGAAATTTTTTTCTAACGAAATGTTCCTGTTTCTTAATACTTTTCTTGGCTTTTGGAAGGCATATTTTGATGTTCTTGAATATACTTATCAGATCTCGACTTTCATATGGATGTCAAGCATGGCGTCCAACGTACAGAAATATTGATATTGTCATCTGGACACAACCGTTCTCTCAGATCTGTTGTTAAAAATGGCTTCAAAACTAAATAATCCTCTAAATCTTGAAGATTTTATAAGCAGTACAAAACTTAAGTATAGCAGGAATAAACAGAAAGATTTTGAAATTTACTCTAAGAAACGGTAAAAGATCATAAGAGTCAACTTAAGCATCTTTTCGATCAAACTTTCTTGAAGAAGATCGCTGATAAATTTAAAAGATTTAAAATTCAAACGAAATTTCACCGTTTTGTCTCGTTTCTATCGGCAATTTCCTTTCATTGTTTAATCTGTTAGATTTATCCACAATTCTCTTTGATTAATATTGATCGAAAAGCTTCCCACTTAAAAAGACTTTTTCTTTTGATAGTAATTTTCAACATGTCTCCAGTACTTCATGTTCTACTAAAATGTTAAACTTGTGATACTTGATCATACTAACGCTATAAAATTACTAAGAGCTCTACAAGTAACATCCATACATCACTTGATAGCTTCTGAAATTAGAAACGACAAAAATGGGTAGCATATGTTACTAGAAGGGAAAATAATCTTATTGTGCAACTGTTACCAAAAACAATACATTTGTCGGTATTAGAACGAGCTATAACATTTAGCGCACTTGAGATGTCTACTTTCCTTAAATATTATTTTGAAAAAATATTAAATTAACCTAAAAAACACCAGTCACATTCTTAAATAGTCTCGTCAGATCGAGATTCAATATGGATGCCATGCTTGGCGGCGAACTGTTCAGAATGATCTAAACTATCGACAGTATAGAAATTCTTTTCCTGATCGGTGGTTAAAAAACGGCTTCGAGCGAGCGAGAGGAGCCGGTAAGCCTACACGAGTACCATCCTTCCTCGAACCCCGAGAACTGGCGTTACAGAATCACAAATAACTTTACGTAATCTTACGGTCTAATCACACTGAAAACACAGATTCAAGTTTGATCAACAAAGTTAAGCAGAATCATGTCCGTGCAGTTCGTATATGGGGGAATACTTCGAAACAGTGGTACTCTAAGCAACCTCTAAACACCTCATATATCAGGTCTGTTAGCATTAATTTCTTTATCAGTTTGTACTTGCATATCCCAGAGAATAGTGGCTTTATCATTTTCTGTTACAGTGGACGGGTCATGTCTATAGTATTTGTCTCTGACATTACTTTATATAGAAATATACGTTGGCGAAGCAACTTAAAATATATAAACGTTAGCAGGCAACGTGTTAAAGAAAATGTGAATTAAAAGACACTTGTACTTAGAATCAGAAAAAAAAAGTCAAGTTGAATTTCTTGGACAGGTAATAAGGGCATAGAGTCTGAAGAATTTGATAATAAATACTGAAGACAAGGGAATAGATAGAACTGATGGTTAATCAAAGAAGGCAAGATGCGTGGGTTAGTCAATGTGGGTTCGACTTTACTTTTAATGAAACTCACAGAAGTTTGACCAATTATCAATCTGTGGCAAAGTTCTTATGATTTGAAAAGCATTGGTCTCTGTCAGATATTCAGTAGTGTTCAGCATTTCAATGGATTGGTTCAGCAACGAGAATGCATCGAAATACACCACCAACGAGTCAGACTAACTTGATATAGACCTGTAGACCTACAACGTTTCCCTCGTCCAATTTTCCACCGATCCGCCAATGACTACCCAGCGTTGCCTCTCCATTCAGTTTCCCATCGTAATCACCCAAATACAGTAGAAACAGGATTCGAGTTTTCATTTCACTTATCGGGAGGTATTTCAATCATTCATTTCCTTGTGAACGTGCATCGGATCTCTCCCTGTTTCTCCTCGGTGTGCACCAAAAAAAAACAAAACAAACAAGGAGACACTCTGCTGCGGGTTCACAAAATAACCACAGAAGAAAATAACCTTCACAGCGAGAAATGAAAACTAGAATCCTGTTTCCTATGTATTTAGGTGTTTATTTGCTCGGTCTGGGTAGGTAGTACGTGACACTTGGGACAGCTTCTGCCATTTTGGGTTAACAGATCAGCTTTGCTCTTCTCTTCCTGCCACCATCTCTCTGATCAATCATGTCAACATCACGACGCGTGGCTGGCAACACGGACGGGAGACGTCGAAAATACTCGCGGGATAGTTTGTACGCCACCAAGAGCGGACTAGAAGTAAATTCATTCTTAACTGTATTTGATAATATAGACCAGTAACCGGAAATTATTAATGTCCGGTTTGGTATCGCTTGACCTCAATTTTTAAAAAATTATTTATATATTCTTTTGTTCTCATTTTTTAGTTGAATGTCACTTACAGGTTTTTTCAAACTGTGGGCCCCGACCCTTCAGTGCGTCACGAGATAAATAAAATGGGTCACAACAAAAAAGAATGAAAAAAAATACGCAAGTGAAAAGAAAGTGAAAAATATAAGCAACACTAAATGTTGTACAGCACTCATAAATCATTGCTTCTTTTTCACTGAGACAAACTTGTATTATATATTTTTTAAATATATATATATATATATATATATATATATATATGAAAAATTTCTCAGAGTTAACGTGTAGAAAACGCAATATTATAAAGGTAAAAGACAATAAGAAAACTGTAATATTAGCCGACGCGTTTCGTCCAATGTGGACATTATCAAGGCAAAAACGAAATGAATTTATTAAAACAAAATAACTATTAACAACAAAACAAAATTCCATTAATAAGTGGAAGAATTTAGAATATAAATACAATAGTGTTTTCTAAATTCACTCACGTGTTATGGTTTTCAGGTACTTTCTAAAGGTGCCGCATGCAGGGATCGACTTCTCCAGTCCGATAAGGAAGTCTCTTTCCTGACAAATCGACCATGGTGAGATTCGAACCCGGGTCTCATGGTCAGAATGCGAACGTTCTAACCACTCGGCCGAAAACACGTGTGTAATTAATCAGGGTATTCAGTTGGTTGACTTCTATCAATTAACTTCTCGCAAAATTGTTTAAAAATATTTATTATAAAATATCTTTTTATAATTAAGTAACGTTAAGGAGTGTGGATGAAGAAACCATCCCAGAAATAGGCAACATTTTCTCTGGCGTTGGAAGAAACGAAATTAGTGTATCTTCTATTTTTTATAATATTGCATATCCATGTTGCATAGAACTGACTGATTCATTTTTTATGTATTATCCGCCATTTTCAGGTTATTTAAAGCCATATTTTTTTAGATTATAAGAATATTTTTTGGTGGTGGTGGCGGGGGTATAATTATGATTTACTGATACAGCGTTTACCAATTAACCCATAGATGGTAGGAAAAGGTGATTTCATGACTTTCCCAAGGGCATTTGGTAAAAATAACGAACCCAACTGGAATTGTAACTTGGCCCTCCGATTAAATAATTCCGAGCTGTTAACCATTACACCACCTGCACACACAAGCTTACAGTACCTGATATTTCCAAACCGTCACCAATCTAGGTAATGATCAGGCTCAACTTTGCTTAACTGTGGTGATCGTACAAGACCCGGGGGTTTCAACATGGTATGGTTGTAAGACAAATAGTTGCTTAGTGCAGCGTTATATATCAGTTATGTGCCATGCGGGATACACGCTTAGGTGATCATATATCTTTCAATACATGACTGACGAGGCAGATTTTTTCCCGCAGTAGTTTGCCATTTTTTTCTGCGGTAGACCAGTTGCTATCCAAGGCTATAGAACACGGTCTATCCTGCTGTTTACCCATAGCTGGGGAGGAATCATATCTATGCCAAGTGTATCAACACGTAATTGAATTTCAGTCACTTATGCCCCATACGTAATACACGCTTAGGCGATCATATATCTTTCGATACATGACGAGGTAGATTTTTGCCGTAGTAGGTTACCATTTCTTTCTGCGGTAGACGAGTTGCCATCCAAGGCTATGTGTGTGTGTGTGTGTTAGAAATGTTTAGGTAAATTATGTTTCAGATAAAAATGATGATGATCTACTGAATTATATTTTGAAGTTAATGCATGAAGTCAAATTCAACAATGAACTTGATTTTTTATTTATTTTCATATTTAATAATTATCTTCGATATTGCAATCTGCGACTGTTTCTGTTGCTATGCACGTTGTCATGCAAAATGATAGACATCGTTTAGCTTGTCGTGAAGAATCGTTTTACAGTAAACATTATTTGATCTTTATCCGTGATAGAATTATAAACCTTGTATTTTCGATTGAATGTGTATCATTCTTGGAGCAGATATTGGAATTCAAGGCGCCGACTTTGCGAAAGGTCGTCTGAAGACAACATTTCGTCCTTCAGCACACTTGATTTGGTATTGATTTTGAGTTGACCTTTGAAAAGGGCTTCGTTGACATTTCTTTCACCCTTAAACACACTTGCTTTATATTGTTCAATCCATTGAAATGCCCTGGGTTGTGGGATGAACACACAATCTGAGGTATGGTTTTGTTTTTCTATTACTGGAAGCTTCATCAATGCGTGTTGTTTATATTATGAAAAGTTACCTTCCTGTTCTCTGTGGATTCTTAACATCCACCCCCACAAGAAAAAAAAAGTAAAAATAAAAATAAAAATTAGTAAATAACACTATTTGGAAAATAGTTATGCTTTTAAAATACGTAAGTCCAGAAACCCCACCCACCCAGAAAAAAGAAACACTTATTATATCACCAGTCATCTCGACTTCAGTCATTTTTTCACAGATGTGACGTGGCTTCCCTGTGTCTTTTCTATAAATATTTTCATGGCAACTGCTCTGACGAGGTTTTTTTTTCCCTGGTTCTCCGACTACATGAATTTAAGCGTGCTACTTGATTGGCATCTAGGTCCCACCCTTTTACTGTTGAAATAGTTAAATGTAACCGCCACTTCTACTCCAACTGTTTCTTTTCTATTTCTGTTTCTTTTTCTTCCCGCCCATGGAACTCCTTTCTGTTTACTTGCTTCCCTGATAGCTACAATCTTTAAAGATTTAAATGCAACGTCACTCACCATCTTCAACTCTGAACAGACTGTTCGGTTCAACTCTCTTCCTACGGGCGGGAGGAACCCGAAGGAGGCTACGCCGAAGGAGGCTACGCCGAAAAGCGGCGTCTCCTTCGGGGTGGTAAAACCGGCCCTGAACCCGTTTATACGGGTTCAAATGGGAGCAGCCGAGCCTAATGGCTCGGGAATGCCCGCGTTAAAAAGGCCTTTGTGCCACATGACACCCTCGTGGGGGGGGGGTGACTGAATATTGTCACTCACCATCTTCTGTCTTACTGAATCCCCATCATCTTTTGTCCTTTTCTCAATTCTCACTATTCTCAACCTGCTCTTTCACTTTCAGTCCTGTAACCCCCGGCGTACTAGTGGCATTCCCGCCTTGCGTGGGGTGAAAAGATTTTTTTAAAAAAAATAATTAATTTGGACAATGGACAAGAAATATTGTGAATTAACTTAAGATGATATCTCCTTTTCCCATTATCGTCCAACCCCATCACTTAGGAAAGGACATTTTCAAACGGTGTAAGGGTAGCAGGGTCGAGTGTAGGAATAGGCCCGAGTACCTGTATTAGGGTAGGGTACTTAGGGAACGGAGAGTGTGATATTATTTATTGAATTTTAAGTTAGGTGAAGTCGACACAACCTATATCAGAATAAAGTCTAAAGGAGAATTATGACTAAAAGTATCGTGCTTTTTTTCTTAAGAAGAGAGAGAGAAAATTGTCACACAAAAGCAAAGTACGTTACAAAGAACTGATAGATAACCTCGACTTATTTGGGAAGGATATTAGAATAACCCAGAACCTACACTGGCAGCAAACCGCCTGCATATGGATAGAAAATGAGCTCAGTAGCCATACAAAAATAGAAAGAGGTGTAAGACAAGGATGCATCTTCTCCCCAGACCTTTTCAACCTGTAGAGCGAGTCCATTTTGAGAGAATTAGAATTCCTAGCAGAATTCATTATTGGCGGCAAAAATCTTACCAATATCAGATATGCCGATCACACAGTATTGATAGCAGACACGGAAAGGAATCTAAAAGAACCCCTACAGAATATAGTGAAGGAAATTGAGAAGAAAAAACTAAACATCAATTGCAAGAAGACTGAATGCATGGCTGTTAGCAAAAGGAACAGCCCCACATAAATATAAAAATTTGGAAAAATCGAAATCAAACAGGTGCAACAATTTAGGTATCTGTGAAGCGTATTAACAGAGAATAGAAAATGTGACAAGAAAAATCCGGGATAGAGAAAGATGCCTTCCAAAAGCTGAGCAAAGTATTAAGAAACAGGAAAATATCGTTAGAAACAAAAAAAAAAAAAAAAAAGATTACTGGACTTTTATGTAATATCAGTCCTCCTATATGACAATGAACGCTAGACAATCGCAGCACGGATGAAGAACAGACTTGAAATAATAGAAATGTGGTTCTACAGAAAGATGCTGAAAATTCCATGACTCGAACATGTAAGCAACGACAAAATTCTAGAGACAATGGCAACAAAAAAGGACATTTATTCTTAACATCAGGAAGATACAGATGAGATTTCTAGGGCACATAATAAGGAAAGGATGCTTGGAAAATTTGATACTCACAGAACATATTGAAGGCTAGAGAGACAAAGGAAAGCAACGCATAACCTACCTCGCGAGTTTGATTGAATAAATGGCGGAGCTGTCAAAATAGATAAAAGTTATTAAGATTTACAAAGGACAGGAAATTGTGGAGAGGTATGATCACCAAAGTCCTGAAGGGACGCCTGAAAAAAAAGAACATAATTTGGACACCGAAACGTGAAGTAGTTACCTAGTACGTGTGCATCTAGTACACTTAATGATGGCTGGAGAAGTGTAATGAAGACATTGTACAAATAAATAAGAACATGAAAGCTAAACTACCATATTAACATTACATTTTTTCCAGCTCCATATTTTGCCAATTAATCTCAGCCTCTTGCCCACCCATCCAAAACGTGAACCTTACATTCACATCAGCGATGTCTGAAAGACTACCCATCTTCTCTATGAGGTAAGTGTTTATATCTGCTTCTTTTCTCAACCTTTTTCTTTTCAGGGTGTGGGCAATCATTTCTCTCCAAGACATCATATCCTTTGCAAATTTAAGCAATGTTTGAACATTTAAGATACCCACACTCCCTATTCTTCACAAGCTGAAATTAGTATTTGTAACCGTAAGTTCTATGCTAATAGCTTCTTTTCTCGCTCTCCTCGCTAGAACTCTCTTCCGGAATCTTGCTTCTTAGTCAAATTTGATCTTCAAAAATTTAAATGCAATGTCAATCATTACCTTATGTCTTCTTAATTCCTCTTTATTTTTTTGTTCTCTCTCCTTAATACTATTTTGTTTTTCTCATATTCTCTCGCACTCAATCAATCTTTACGCCTTAGTGGCTTTCTTGCCTTGTTTAGAGTGAAATTTGTCAATCGTCACATTCAATCTGTCTTCAATCCTTCAATCTGTCCATTTACATTCTCCGAGCCCCCTTTCCTCATTATGTGTCTCAGGAACTTAAGTTGTTTCTCACTGATCCGAAGTGTTCTTTTCGTTATCAATGTTCTTAACACTTCCTCATTTCTCACGGGTTCTGTCCATGTATTCCCAGTACTTTTCTGTAGAAAGATATCTTGATTGCCTAAAGTCATCTGTCCAGCATTTAATACCACACGGAAGAAAGGATATTGCGTGACAATTGAGCTTGTAACCCCGATGCATCTGTTTCGACCATGTGTTCAAGTAGTGGGCGGATCTATACTCACCGTCCTGAAAATTATCAGTTAGATCAACCCCGTACTAGGTTTCGCTGAACAATAATGTGCGCAAAGTCTATTATGACATCTGAGGTGGGAAACCAACGCTTAATAAAATGAATTATGAACACTGCACAAATATTTTGAAATGTTTATAGTAGATAGTTTGAAATATCTAGGTTTTAACTAATAGTTTTAAGTATTTTTTTAAAAAAAGTCATTTAAACATTTCATAACTTAGTTACCTCCCCTGACGTTTACATCATAAAATTTAAAAATCGTACAGAACATAACTATAACATTTTACACGACACAAGTAAAAAATCTAACTTTCAGATGAACACAAAAATTTTGTCTTAGACAAATGATGAACACAACATTTTTTTGTTATCAATTCTATAAAGAGACCCTGCGGCGTTTACTTAGCTCAGTGCGCGAGAAGAGACGAGAGTTGTGGCAGGAAAAATCGTGGCTGCTTCACAACGACAATGCACCTGCTCACAACGCCATGAGAATCCCAAAGTTCCTGATCGAGAAGGACATCACGGTACTAGAAAAACCACACGATTCGCCTGATTATGCTCAGTGTGACTATTTTCCTTTTTACCCCCTGATCAAAAGGATCATTAAAGGGATGCGTTTTGAAGGCGTGGATGCAATCAAGAGGTTTGTAATGATGGACCTGAGGGCAATCTAAGAAGAATCATTCCGTAGAGCATTGAAGCGTTGAAGACAAGGATGGAAAAGTAGAAAAAGTCATTAATGTCAAGGGCG